TATTTTATGATCAGCCGCATAATAGCCTTACTATATATATATATATATATATATATATATATATATATATATATATATATATATATATATATATATATATATATATATATATACTATTACAATCGGTCATGAATAATAAGTTATTCTGTGGCCACTTTGAGTTACGATGATTACTATATTAATTTACGAGATTATGGTAACTCCATCATAAGTGATTTACTATAGCATTACGGTAAGTATCATCTTGAATTATAGTAACACATGTATCGTAAATGTGTATTGTCATTATCGTAAATTGGTACAAACATTAACGTAAATCAATGTGGCTATAGAATAAGTTATTCTGTGGCCAGCTGTAGAATATATATATATATATATATATATATATATATATATATATATATATATATATATATATATATATAGAGAGAGAGAGAGAGAGAGAGAGAGAGAGAGAGAGAGAGAGGACACACACCTTCCATCGGCAAGGCATAAACTGTTGGGGATTCACATGAAGTGAGGGGTCCAAATGAACAGCACCAAAAATAGGCGGTACTTTCCAACCAGCTGGGATGAGATACCCTACCAACAGGTAAAAAACAACATTATTGCTCATAAAAGTCTGCCTATACAATTTGGCGCAACAGTGTTCTTACCTCTACTCTTGACCTCAATTTTGATTTTGCTCACTTTTTCAACTTTGTGATTTTATTTGCGTTCTTTTAAACTGAAGCTACTGTTTGCCCTACTAGCTAGTTTTAACCAAATCAACCAAAAAATGATGTCTTCTATGATATTCTACGTTATGGATTGCCTTATTTGGTTTTTGCTTAATATATATGCAACTTATGCTTGTCTGAAAATGTGCTATCACAATTTATCAAAAGTTCTGTCAGATTTGAAATGTTTTATGCGAATTCTATAAAATTTTACTGTAAAAATACTTTTGAAATCAAGCAAAATGCCTTATGTCCAAACAGCGGTAAGATCACAAAGTTGTCGGAAAATTATGGCTAAATCTGCAAGGACATACATGTCTTTTTTTACAGCTGAAAAATTGACATCGTTAATTGGTCAGACCAAAAGTGCAGATTGCAGACTCAACCTTCAGTTTGAAAAGACAGGAGCAAAATAGCAGAGTTAAAAGGGATTTGCTGGCGCCCAGATGTCTGATGAGATAGGATTTCATCGGACGGTTCCGAACGGTCCAACAGAAACACGCCGCACTCACACCATATCGCTGCAGTCCTCGTCCCGCCACGCACGTGTACCCCGCCCCCGCTCGTCTCGCCCCACCCCGCGCCCACCGCTCCTTCCCCCTGACCCCCTCCTCTCTCTCCGCTGGGGCGGGACCCGGGAGCTAGGATGAGGACGAGCACGCCCCATCCGTAGGACTCCAGGCACGCCGCGCGCCCCATCCGCCGGCCCCCGGCACTCAGGGCATACCCCATGACTCTCTGAACATACCCCTGAATACGAAACCGTGCAACATGAAACACTTGAATGCAACATAAGTTTGAAGCAGACGAAATATTTGGAACACACACTTGCAACATGTGTGAACATACATCTGAAACACAAAACACTTACAACATGAAACACTTGAATGCAACATAAGTTTGAAGCAGATGAAACATTTGGAACATACATTTACAACATGTGTGTGAAACATATGCAACATCTAGATAAAACAATTACAACTTGCAACATGAAAACACTTATTGCAACATAAGACTGAAACAGCTAAAACATTTCGAACACACTCTTGCAACATATGTGTGAAACATATGCAACATCAAAATAAGCACACTTACAACATACGTCTGCAAAAAGCATATGAAACATTTGGAACGGACGCTTGCAACATACGTGTACAACCATTGCAACATGTGCAACATCACGATCTTTTTTTATAACATTCATATGAAACACTTGCAATATACCTCTGAAAACATCTGAAATAATTGAAACATACTTTTGCAACATGCGCTTTAAGGCAACATCTCCTTGCTGCTCGGTTGAACGGAGGCTCGTCGGTGTGTGGTGTTCATCGGAGGCAGCGGCCGACGGTGCTTGTAGGTGGCGGGCCGCCGGCAGTGGCTGCACGTTGCGGAAGGGAGGCATAGGCCGCACGAGCGGCGGGGAGGCCGTAGCCACGTGACTTAGAGAGGGTAGCAGCGCGCGCACCTAGCAGGGCCGGCAGCCGAGCGCTGCGACTCAGAGGCGGCCGCGTGCCATGCTTGGCAAGGCCAGCGGCTGAGCGGTGCGCCTCGAAGGCGGCAGGCGAGCGGATGAGAGCGATAAGAAGAGGAACGAATGGATAGAAATAAGTGGATGAGCAATTTTTTTTGAGAAACAAAGGAGCGTGGGTTGTTGGGCTAACGTCGTGGCCTATCTAGCAACGAAGCGTCCGGGCGGGCGGACGCCCGGTTCAGAGCATTACCAGAGTTAAAAACGTTGGGAGTAAACATAATCACTAACATCTAGAGTAGGGATAAACTGAAGGCAACACTGCCAGCATTAGGAAAACAAACAAAACAATACAACTAGGTAAGCGGTTTATTGGAGGGAAAATGCAGTCTGCACGTAATTTGGAGAAACTAAATAGTTCAAAAAAAATCTTTAATTATACCTTTATATCTGACATCCTTCAGCGCCTTCCGGTGCACAAACTTGATAACGTTGCCGCACCCGCATCTCAACGTCTCGTTGATAACCTGCGCCATCATATGCATCCAAAATGCAAATTCATGGATCAGACCATGTATAATTGTATTCATATAGATTGTTTAACACACTTGAGCGTCAAAAACCACTTATCGCAATTCACAGCAGAATAATGGATTAAATACATGGACCCTGTATGCATATCTCACAGACATGTTGGGTATACTCCATCTTCTTGTAGTGATGGCTTAAGAGGACGCAGCCGAGTTCTCCAGACTCGCCAGAACCTGCTTGGTTTCGCCACGCAGGTAGCTGCGTGGAGTCGTGCGTGAACGCGGCACTGGAAGGCGGTGGCGGCGGCGGCGAGCAGGCTGGCTCACTCCTCCCCGACGTGCACTATTCATGCTGACCGAGCCCCTTTCTCTTCGATTTTCTCTTGAATCCAAACAGCTAACTCGATGAACTCCAAAAAACCAAAGTTGTTCACCTTGGTGAGGACTCCAACATTGCTTACAGGCTCGAGTCCCAATTCTCATTGAATTGAGAGATCTAGAGCAAGGAACTAGGGTACTTCAAAAACAGTTTCGGTTAGCAAACTTTGGGATTTTATTAGTGATCAACCATCTATCAACCTTATCAACTAATTAAACATTATCATAGCACAAACATAGCATCAAGCAATGGAACAAAGTTTGAACAAATTTTATTTATGAAATTTCATTTATTAATTCACCAAAGTTTGAACTTTAAAACTGATATCCAGGGACTTAGGCAAAAATTGCTAAGTTTGAAAATAAGCTTTGAATTCAATTTTTGAGCTCAAATTTAACCATATTTGATTCAGAAACATGATCAAACTTTGATTCTATAAGAAAGCATACATATTGTACTACAAAGTTTATTTTACCAGAATTTTAATTGTTTAAGCAAATTCTCATAAATAAATTCACAAAGATCCACTATTACAGAAATGAGATCTAGTCCCGGTTGGGAACTAGCTCTACTCCCGGTTTTCCAACCGGGACTAGCAATCTGGGACTAAAGGTGTTGTTCTTTAGTCCTGGTTTGCCACAACCAGGACTAAAGATTCTCCCAGCTTTAAAAAAATAATGCCTCCCACCGCTGCGCCCAGTGAGATTCGAACCCAATACCTCATGCACTGCCTCGTGCGTAGCTTACCACCCCACCTACACAACACATCTAACAATGAATGTGATACTTTCCTTTTGAACTAACCCATTAGGGGACCTTTAGTCCCGGTTGATACCAACCGGGACTAAAGGGTCCTTTAGTAAAGGGTCCTTTAGTCCGGGTTGGTGTTACCAACCGGGATTAAAGTGTCTACCTTTAGTCTGAGTTGGTATTACCAACCGGGACTAAATGTTGGAGGACTTTTAGTCCCGGTTGGTGGCTTCAACCAGGAGTAAAGGTCCACCTTTAGTCCTGGTTGGTGTCTCCAACCGGGACTAAAGGTCCTCTGCCACTGTGCCGAGCGCAGTAGCCGTTGGGCAGGGACCTTTAGTCACGGTTGGAGACATCAACCGGGACTAAAGGCCTCTCTAGTCCCGGGGGCAAAAAAATGCCGAGGCTAATGCCAAATTGGGACATTGTTCTAAAGTCTGTTCTCTAGTAGTGATCCTTAATTGCTATTGTTGTTAACATTTCATGCAACATATGAAACATCATGTATAAAACATATAAATGCCACAATTGAAGCATGGAGTACTTTTATGCCTTAATGCTTGTTGATTATGCTTAATGATGCTCATGCTCAAGTTTTAATTGCATTTTCACATCTGGGATGTTACAAAAGTTAGAGGGTTATTTATGTATTTCATAATGGTTGAGGTGGGTAATTTTTTATATAACAGTATAGATCTTGATAATAATGATTAGAGTCTACCAAAATAATAAAGGTCAAGTGTTTATGATTATTGCTTTTTATGATGCATCTTTCTTCCTTGCACGTCTAGCGAGAACTAACACAAAGCCTTGGTTGGAGTCCCTAGCTAATTAGTAATAGTATTCTATGAGTTATCCTTTTTTTTTAGCTCGTGTGGTGAAAATTAACATCTTTCATTATTAATAGTGTTACATAATTTATCTTCTTTTTTTCCCCTAACGTGTCCGTTCAAGCTTCTAATTAATAATAGCAAGATAAGATTTATTATTCTAGACTCCACTTCAAAGTACAAATATCTTTTGTTTTTACAAACGCACATATACGAGTACACATATTCCTTCACTGCTCAGGGGGGAATATAAGAGATTAGAGATGCGAGAAGCCCTTTATCTGCTGGAACGAACGACATTTGGGATGCTAGCTAGGTAACTTAGAAGACGATGACAGAATCGACGTGGTGTTTCATCTTCTCTAGGTTCGGCGAGATGGCGAACTGGATCATTAGCGGCGGCCCGCAGACGAGAGCCAGCGTGCCGTCGCCGCCCTCCGGCACGTGCTCCCGCAGAATGGCCTCCGTCACGATCCCGACGCTGTACTTCCACTCCTCCGGGCGTTTCGCCTGGCTGATGACGTACCAGACCTTGAGCCTGTCAGGGTACTCGGCTGCCCACCGGTCCAGCTCGCCGCGCAGGAGGATGTCGTCCTCCGTCCGGTTGGCGTACACGAGGTGCATCTCCGTCCGGTCCTCCGGCTGGTCGCGCAGCACCGCCTGGATCACCTGGTATATCGGCGTGATCCCGCTCCCGCCGGCGACCATGGCGAGGCGGCCCGCCCTGCACGGCTTGCCGTTAATCACGAAGCCTCCCCGGCCGACGTACTCGACGTGGCCGAGCGGCCCCTTGACGTCGACGCGGGCGCCGACCGGAAGCGAGTCCAGGTACTGGGTCATGCGCCCGCCGTCGGGGAACTTGGGGTTCTCGTTCTTGAAGTATACCTTCACCAGGAGGTCGAAGTGCCCGACCTCGTCCACGGAGCTCGTCGGCGTGTACGCCCGCATGCACAGCTTGCCGTCGATGCTGGCGCACACGAAGATGTGCTTGCCGACCGGGAGACCGAGCACCTGGCCGGACGACGGCAGCGCGAAGCGGAACAGGCGGACTTCGCGGGACAGCACCGTCTTGGCGACGAGCCGGCACGGGACCTTCTCCCGCGGGTTGGAGAGCGCCACGACGGGCGCCGCTGGGCCCCCGATGGGGGTGAGCTCGAGGTGGGATGCCTGCTCGGTGCCAGCGGTGGTGACGAGATCGCCGATGCGGTACGCGTCGAGAAGGTCCGTGGCCTTGTCGGAGTGGATGGCGTCGAACTCCTCGGTGCAGTCGGTGCCAGCGTTGATGAGGATGCTGTCGGCGCCGCCCGGGTGGTCCTTGAGGTACTCCGTGCAGTCGTAGACGTGGCCGTGGACGACGATCCACGCCGAGTCCCGAGACGCGTGCTTGCGCACCTCGGACATGGTGAACTGGTTGGCGGTGTTGGTGATGGTCGCCGCGGACGTGCTGCGCGGTGGGAGAGCCGGCGCGGCACCGGCGGCCTCCGCGGTTTCGAGGCGCTTCTGCTGCGCCATCCATCCGCCCGCCTGGTTGCCGGGCTGCACCGGGTGCTCGAACGCAAGCCCTATCTCCCCGTTGCCCGGCCGGCACACGTTCACCTTCACCCTGAACCAGCAGTTGGTCATCATTCCCTGCAAACAAGCGCGTGATACAACATTAGCATCAAAATACAGAAACAGAGAACGTCGACATGGACATGGTTAGGAACAAGACACGGTGCCATGCCAGCACTAGCACCAGCGGCACGTCCGTACCAAGAGGTTCCAGGTGAGGAACTCGGGCTGGGTGTTGAGCGATTGGTCCCATGCGCGGACAGCGATCTCCTTGCAGGCGAGAAGGTCGGCGAGCTCGACGTCGATGGACCAGAAGCACCAGCACCAGTACCTGCCGTACTTGGTGGGCTTCTCCGGGTGGTCCAGCGCGCAGAGGAGCCAGTTCTCACCGCCGTCCAGCGTCACCTCAACTCGCGTCACTTTCTTGCCACCACCTACAACAAGTAGGAATGATAAAAAACACAGGGAAATAAATCATCTGCTGTCAGATGGAGATGGTGCTCTGCTCCACATCGGCATGTGAACATAAGGGAGCAAGGCGCTGTAGGGTTACCCGAGTAGGCGAATCCCTTCATGGTGTAGGTGCGCTGTGTCGTGATGGCGTTGATGGGCAGGAAATCATTGTGCCCTGGCGTTGTGATCACCGAGTTTGTGTTCATCTCGTTGATCACATACTCCGGCTTGTACCACCAGCCTGCATATATGCATATCAGCATATATATGCGTACCAATTCAGTAAATAAAAGTATTTTAAATCTCTTTTCAGAGATCAACACATAAATTGAACCACTTAATATATAATTGACCTTCGGCGTCGGCGAGCTTGGCGTCGACGTGGGACGGCAGGAATCGGTTGTCCCGGTAATGGTAGTAATTGTCGGACTCAGCTGTGGTGACGACGATGCGCCGGAGCCACTTGACCATGCGGCCGGCCGTGCATCCGGGGACGATGAGGCGCACGGGGAACCCATGGTCGGGCAGCAGCGGCCCGCCGTTCTGCTGGTACGCGAGCATGACGTCCATGGTGGGGTCCAAGGCCCGCTCGCGCGTGATGCTGGTGCCGTACTTGGATCCGCCGCCGCCGCCGCCGCCGCCGGGGAGGTCCTCGGCGCCCTCGAAGCACACGTAGAGCGCGCCGTCGGCGACGCCGCCGCACCGGCGCAGCACGTCGCGGAGGCGCGCGCCGCGCCACACGGACGTGGACACGGCGCCGGGGCCCCAGTTGAAGCCCAGCGTCTGGCGCGCCATGTTCTGCTCCTTACGCCGGTTGCTGGAGCAGACGAGCGTGACGGGCAGGTCCAGGGCCGGGAAGTCGCGGACGAGCTCGTACATGGTGAAGCGCGCGGGGCGCCGGACGAGTCCGGACACCTCCACGGTCCACGTCGCCCAGTCCCCGCGCGGGACGGGACCGTGGTTGCGCACGTAGTGCAGAGGGGCTGGCGTGATGAAGCCGTGCCGCATGAGCTGTGGCAGCGGCGGCTCGCCGTTGAACGGGTGCTTCCCCGTGAGACGGATCAGCGACGGGCTGCGCTCCACCCACGCGTCCGCGGTGCCCTCGTCGCGCGGGTCATGCACCGACGACGCCTCCACGCCGAGATGCCGCAGGTAGTGCGATCCGTACGTCTCGTGCCGATCATCCTGGTGTTCGTCGTCGTCGTCGTCCGATGCGTCGTCGTCAGCCTTCTGGGCCGACGAGACGGGAGCAGCGACGACGAAGCCACTGCCGCGCACGCCCGGCAGAGCAGGGTACGGCAAACGCTGCGCGGCGCCCGGTTCGAGGCTGGCCAACTGCGTTGGCGGTTCAACACAAGTGCTCATGGTGGATCGGCTAGTGAAACGCTACTTGTACTTGCTGCTTGCTGGTGGGAGACTGGGAGATGAGATTAGCAGCGAGCGAGCGGGTGCTCCTGTCCCGTAGAGCGTTGTGCTCGTGACAAGGTTAGGCAGGTCGTTCGATCGGGTTGTGCACGAGCAGTATATATACACTCGCGGGCGGTGAAGCTCCAGCAATCCTGCAAATCTTTTTTTTTAACTAAATCCCGCGTATCTTGGCCCATCAGACGCCAACAAAAAATGGTTCGGAGCCGCCGTTGGGCACACGTCACTTGAGCGACAACCAGCCAAAATCATGTCTGCTCACGATTCCTCGCAAGGTTTGCTCGTGTGTATAATAACATGACAAAAAAAAAAGAAGACGACAAAACAAGTGTGTATCATGATTCATGTGGAGTTGTGGAACAACGGACTTTCTTTTTTTTCGAATAATTCGGGGAAGACCCCGCCTTTATATTAGTTAATAAATTGATCGAGGCGAATTGTACAGCAGTTACAGCCGAACAAGTTTCTTTTCAACTTCTCAAAAGAGTTCAATCAAGATCCATATGATATTTCAGCAAATAATTTTGAAATGAACATTCGTCACGCAGGTACTACAGTGTGAAGGTTATTAGGGATGCATGCAACCACACCTAAATTTTGTAAACATATATATATATATGGATGGAATGGCAAGAAAGAGTGTATATAATTTGTTCTTTCTTATCATACTCGGCGAGCTTGCAGAAAACCATAGCACATCGTACAGCTACAGCAGAGTACCAAAGCGTTAAAGGCGGTCGCACTATTGTTGACGCGAATTTGGGTCAACATGTTGGTAAGAAGCTAGATCACTCGGTATAGGCGAACCAAAGATTAGTCTAGTCGTCTCTTAAGTCGGCTGACGCATAAGCAGTGTGCTTGTAGACGAACACTTTGTTATCGGATGCCTCTAGCAATGAGTGCCATACATAAGACATGTCGCCGAATGAGCCTCGTCAAGAACATGATGTGCAACACACGTCGATGAGGTCTCTGCAACCCGAAGCCCCACACGTGTGTTGCGTATACATATGTTAAAAAAAAGGAATATAGCAAGTAAAAAATTTATAGCAAGTAAAAAATTTAAGGAAACTAAATCCCACCTCTTCATATATTTATGATGTTAATTAATTAGTTGGGTGAAATGTGGTCACTAGAAGATGTATTTGGTTTTGGCGCCCTATTTCACCATGGCGCGCACCTGTGGAATCGTCGAAGCTGCAGTAGCAAAATCGGACGCCATACTTGTGGCGAGATTTTCTACTCCAACCAGTTTGAAAAGGCGGTGGGAGGCCTAAGATTCTTAACTAACCAAGCAGCTGCGTCAATAGGTTGTGGCAGCCTTATGTCGATCAGCGTGGGATATGGCGGAAAACACCAAACACACTCAAAATCATCCAATTACAGTAAACTAAACGTCCATTTAGCTCGTCTAATCACACTTATCTCCATTCTATTTAGGTCATTTAGACTTCCTCTTTTTCTTACTGTTAAACTGTCAAATCATTTAATGAAGTATTTAGGGCCTAAATGACGCGGTTTACCTCCTTTTACTGCTTAAATGCCATTTCAATGGTCTTCTTGGCGGATATTGATTTTTAGTAATGATATGGATGTGCATAATCTAAAAAAGATGCCATATTATGCAAATTAGGGTACTTTAAATTGTTTTCATAATGGCATAGGTTTGGTTCTGTTAGGTTGTTCTCCTAAGGATGGAGATAGCTAACTTAGATAAAAAAAATGAAGGGTTACTTTATATTATTTTTCATATTTGACACAGGTGAGTAATAATTTTGATGAAGATTAGGTAGTTTTAGATTATTTTTCATATTGACAGAGGAGACTATTATAATTAAGATGTGTATTTAGTTGTTAATTTAGGAATTTTTATAAGGCGAAGGTGGGTAAATTTTTGAAAAGAGTTAGATCTAGTAGCTTATTATTGACGTTGACGGTTAGGGTCTATATAATTGATGACCAGAGGTTTATGAGAATTTGTAGGATTTATATATTTTTCTTAGAGCATTTCATCTGAATCTACATGGACGCTTCAAAATATTTGTCCTGTTATTAATAGTAGGATTAAGTCCACTTTTGGCCCCTCAACTATTATGTTGATTTAATTTTAACCTTCAGCTACAAAACCGTCTAGTACCGGTTAAAAGGTTGAGATGGCGGACTAGAGGGGGGTGAATAGTCATTTCTAAATTTAATCACGTCCGCTAACCGAAACAAATATGGAATTAAAACAATCGGTCTAGCCAAGACTACAACCCTCCATCGAAGTTCACAAGCACCTTGTAAAGATCCTAATTAGGCAATAAAGGTACCGGGCTAGCTAGAGCTCACCTATCCAATTGTAGGAGCAAGGTCACACAAATCTATGCCACTAGTATTTTGCACATCAGGGAGCTCCTACACAATTCTAGTAAGAAAAGCACAAAACTCTTAAGCTCACTAGCAATTCTCAATAACAAGGCAACCAATGCCAAATTAGAGAGGGCAAATACTTAGATACACAAACTAAGCAATGTGACTAAAAAGGTTACACAAACCAAATTAGCCACGCAAGAGAGCTACTTCTATGCTACACAAGCAAGAAGGTAACTAATGAACGACACAAGCTAACTAATTACAAGAGCAACTACAGAAGCACAATGTATATGAAAGTAATTACAAACTTGTGTAAGGGGATTGCAAACCAACGGGAAGAACAATGTTGACACGGTGATTTTTCTCCCGAGGTTCACGTGCTTGCCAACACGTTACGTCCCCGTTGAGACAAGCTCCAAAGTTACCGCTGGTCCTCTTGCTAGTGGTGACCCGCAAGTCACACTCTCCCACGTGGAGTGCTTACCACAAGCTCAAGCACTTGACCCGGCCGGACCACTTGTCGCCCTTCGCGTCTCGCTCTATTAGAGTTGCTCTTCGCGGCTCCCACGGGGCGAGCACAATGCCCCTAACAAAGCTCTTCTCCGGAGAGCCGCACAAGCTTCTTGCGGACTTCGACGGAGACCACCACCAAGCCGTCTAGGAGGTGGCAACCTCCAAGAGTAACAAGCACTGTCGGCTTGCAAGACGACCACCTAGTGCCACTCGATGCAACCTCACGATGCAATCGCACTAGAATCGCTCACTCACTCGATCAGATGAACACTATGAAGCTCAAGTGAGTTAGAGGGCTCCCAAGCACTACCACATAAGCCACCAAGACTCTAGTATACTCAGCTTCTGGCCCAGGGCCGACCAATGCTTGATTTTATAGCCCCCAAGAAAATAGAGCCGTTGTACCCCTTAACTGGGCACAACTTGGGGTGACCGGACGCGCCGGTCGGATCGACCGGACGCACCCAGCCAGTGTCCGGTCAACGGATGCACGCCACGCATCGCCCCTATTCAACCATAGTCGCTTGATCTCAACAGTCGGCTGCCATGCGCCAACGGTCAAGTGATGACTGGACACATCTCTGCGCCAAGACTGGACACGCGAGCCTCAGAGTTTGGTCGTTTCCAGAGAGCTCCACAAGCCTATATTTTACAACCAGACGCGTTCGATCCCTGGTGCCGGACTCACCTCTGCGTCTGATCCCCTCTGAATCAACTCAGCGTGCTACGTAAGCGTATGCCACCCTGACCGGATGCGGCCACTGTGCGTCAGGTCACCTCCTCACCCAGCGTCCGGTCACTTGAGATAGCTCGAGTGGCACTAGATGACCGATATGCAAACAAGTTTGCCCCTCTTGATAGTACGACCATTTATCCTAAGCTCGGTCATCAACTTCTCTATAAACCTATGACCGGTAAAATGAAATGCCCTAGGTTATACCTTTGCCTTGCGCATTCCATTCCATCTCCTCCAATGTCGATGCAACACATGCACAAACACGATCAACAATGATATGATCTACTTCATATCATCATGTGATCATATTGGTTCATTGATCTTGACTCCACTTGCTTTTCACCATTGCCTTCGTACATCGGCGCTAAGTCTTGCTCAAGCTTCACCGCCACACGGTCCATCGCTCCAAAGCCTCCAACTTGCCCTTCGCGCTTACAACCGGTCCATCAAGCCAAGTCATGTCTTGATCTTCTCCACCTTGATTACATGACTCAATGTCATGTCTCATGTGCAATGAGCTCCTTCATCATCACATGTGTGAGTTTTGCAACATCTTCGAGCCATTTCCATCTTCATGGCATATGTTTCTTACACACATGTACATGTGGACTAATCACCTATGTATCTCACATAAACACAATTAGTCCACCTAGGGTTGTCACTCAATTACCAAAACCAAGCAAGGACCTCTCAATCTCTCCATTTTTGGTAATTGGTGACAACTCTACAAAGATATAGAAATTAAGCTCTTTTGGATTCATGTTGCTTGCCCAAGCAATTTACCATGTGTAAATGATTTTGGACAAGTACCACAAACCTGAAATGGTAGTATTAACTCGCCCTACATATGTGCTAGAGTGTTTGGTTTGAAGCTCACACATATGCATAGATTGGAATTATGGGAGAGTAATTACTACCAAATGATGCTAAGGTGTATAGAATAAATCTTTAAAGTGATACCAATCGGAGTTACACTTTTAACACCATCTTTAGCACCATGAGTAGCTAGACATCAAAAATATTAGAAACCCCGTGAGATCAACATTATAAGCAAGGTTCTAGTACCACGTGTAAAAATACAAGTCTAGCTACCTTCCTATGCATGCTAGTTATCAAATCATCATTCAAGTTCTACAACTAGCATACACTACACAAGCATGCATATCAAATTTTTAAAAAATTTATGCAATAGAAGCAAGCACATGAATATGCACATATCAAATGCAAACAACCCAGTTTATGAGCTTGCTCCCCCTACTTGTGTGTCTCTCTTGTTCAAGAATTTTGATCCTTTTCACATCCTTCAATGTTGCTCCCCTTCTTTGTTTATGTCTAT